GTCATGAGGAACAAGTGAAATAATATGGTCCAAATGCTTGGAATGTTCTGCAGCAGTGTAGCTACACCTATCCTCACAACATTGGAGGAATGTGGAACTTCAACATCTAGTGATTTGCTGTTTGCATGCACACTGTCTCAAGCACAAGATATAGAAGAAGTCATAAGTTGTTCCTAATCTGTCATTGTTTTGCTTCATGGAATTTTGTCAGTGGCTGCTGCAGCTAACATAACTTGCAAGTTGAAAGGCCAATGATGAGATGTTCTATATCACTTTGTAAACAGAGGGAAATTGTGAGGTTATGCATTTTGACAGGAAGAATAGAGGAGCTGAATGCTATTATTGAAATAGAGAAAGACTGGAAAGTTTTTCAGCATGGGGATTTGGGAATCCAACAAAATGTTGGCATACGAATTGAGTAGGTAATAGTGAAGATAAATAGACTGTTGGCTGTTATTTTAGAGTCTGGAGTACAAAAATAGGAAGAGATAACAAGGTGTAGAGCTGGATGAACACAGCAGGACAAACAGCATCAGAGGAGCAGGAAAGCTGATGTTTCGGGTCTAGACCCTTCTTCAGGAAAAAAAAAATAGGAATTTGTGCTAAAACTAAACAAGGTACTTATCACTATACAAGTGAAATACTGTGATTTGATTTGGTCCCCTTATCTAAGGAGAGAGATGCTAGCACTAGAGGCAGTCCAGAAAAAATTCTCTCAGTTGATTCTGGGTATGGAGGCATTTTCTTAGAGTCTGAATAGGTTGGCCTATGCGCATTGAAGTTTGTATGAATGAAATATACAAGATTCTTGGCATCGGAGTAAGAGGTCAACTATGAGGAAGAATTTCTTTTGAGGGTAGTGAATTCTGAAGTGCTGTCGAGGCTGGGTTGTGACGAATAATCAAGTTTGAGACACAAACTTTTGATCAGTTGCAAAAATTCAAACATTATGGGGATAAGAGGAGTTGAGAACTATTAAATTAGCCAATTTGGTCACAGGTGGAGCAGACTCAATGGGCCAAATGGCCTACTCTGTTCCTGTGTCTTACGGTGTTGTGAATTACAGTTCTAGGAACCTCATGGCATAGTTACAAGGACAAAAGTGAACGTCGTTTTTTCAGAATTTTAAGGCTATTGTGCAGTCACAAGAATGAGACAAAAGAAAGCATAGACCTTTGAACTCTGAAAACAAACACTAAATAGCACTTTTGCAAGCATATCAGTTTGCTATCTAACTCCTAAAGTGAGTAATGGATTTTGATCAGAGGCATAAAAACATGTTAGTTGCCAACTGACTCATTAATGGACTACATGACGTGTACAAAACTGATGATTTTTCCAAGCTAGATAACTACAGGAGTTAATGAGGGCTTTAAACTAAACTTGGTTGGAGGAGGAGGAGAAGGGGTGGGGAAGGTTTAGGAAGAATGAGGCTTGAGGCTTGAGGCTTGGGTAAATCGAGCAAACCAAGGGGTAGATTTGAAGCACGAGAGGAAAATATTAAATGGGAAATGAAGGTCAGAATTGTAGGTTTTTTGTTCTGTCCCTTCCTAAGATGCCACCAAATGCCAAGACTTGGATGTTACAAATGTAAGAAAGACACAACTAGACATTATGTATCTGAGTTCACATAATATTCAAAAGTAAATAAAATGATTTGATTGTCACTGTGTAGAGGTCTGGAGGCAAAATTTTTGAGAACTGCATCCTGATTATTGAGGTACCTGACATTCAAGAGCAACCAGATAAAGGTTGAGGGGAGTGTGCTGATGATCAGAGATGGCATTGATGCAAGAGTTGGATGACCTTGGTTTAGGACGTCAGGATGTATACGAAGTTGCTAGTGGAAGTGGTCCACAGGCATTAATATTAACCCTAATATTAACCACAATTAGGGCAAAGTATATAAGAAGAAATATTAGGTGCTTGTTATGAAAGGGTGACAATCAGGGGTGATTTTAAACTTCATGTAAATTGGAAAACTAATTGACAATGACAATGATAATCTAGATGAGTAGTTCATGAAATGCTTTTGAGAAAGCTTCTTAGAGCAGCATGTTCTGAAATCAATTAGAGAACATATTATATTAACCCAAGTCTTCTGTATTGAGACAAAATTAATGACTTTAGAGCACATGTAACCCTAGACAACAGCCAACAGAATTTGATTGAATTTTACATCCCACTTGAAAGGGGTAGAGCATGTCGAAAAATAGCGTTTTAAACCTGTATAAAGGTAACTAACTCTGCTTTCAGGCCTGCATAGCTCAAGTGAACTGGGATACACGTCTAGGAGAGATCAATAGAGAAGCAGTGGCAGATGTTTAAGAGTATATTTTAGAATATATATTCCTATTGTGAACAAAATTCCAGGACAGTTGATCTATAGTTAACTGTAGTAGTTCAGAAAGCATTGTGCAAAGATGAATGGCAGGTCAGCTGAATGGTCTGAATATAAAGAACAAAATAACCAAAAAGTTAACTGGAGAAAGAAAGAACTTGGATATAATTGAAAGCTGCCAAGAAGCACAAACTGTCTGTCTTATTTGTTTCTACAATATTTAAAGAAGAGTAAATTAAATGAGTGGTCCTCTAGAGAGTATGAATGGGGAGTTAATAGTTTTAAATAAAAATGGCAGATGTCATGAACATGTACCTGTCCTCAATATAATGCGTCACTGTCAGACATGGAACAATTAAGAGCACTTGTAACATTGAGTAATTGAAATCTTATTTTAACCTCCAGACTAATGACCTGTTGTTTCTTCCAGTGTTTCTTTTGCATTCTTTAAATGTTTGATCTCACTCAGCCAGTCTAATATAGTTCAAAATTTTAGTTTTCAGAGCCGGGTACTGGAGCAGTGAGGCTGTGAGCAGCACACCGCACACACCTGTTGCCAAAATGGATGCTAGCTTCCTCTTCTAGGTATACGGCGATGAACCAGAACAAATTGCGGGAAAAAGTGAGCAGATCTGGCAGTATCCATGAAGGGAAATTAGAGTCAATGTTTCTGAGATGACCCTACCTCAGAACTGGGGTGGAGCAGAGTGGTGCAACTTTGAGCCAGTGTGATTCAATGCTGTTGGAGAGAGGGGTTGAGAGTATGCATGGTACTGTGTGGATTTTGGGATGTGGTGAGAGCAGCAGTCTGGAACATTAAACATCATAGAGATACTTATGATCTTGGGTGGACTCAAAGCATGAGGGATAAGACTTGAGTTGGAAACATTGAAAGTCAATACTAGTGTGGTGACAAGAGATCATTTAAAATCTTTTAGGCATGTGGTATTCAATATTGAATGTTGGAAAATTGTATTTTAAATTTCTTTGGTAAAATTAATACCTGTGTGGCCAGTACATATTGCAGATGTTGGAACTGCTCAACGTCAGGTTCCAGTTTACTATTTTCTTTTTGAGGCCCCTTTTTCCCCTATAGTTTTCCTTTGTGGTGCTTTAGCATTAGTCCACACTCTGGGGAGATCCCAAGACCACACCTCAGCTGGAATGAAAGTTGTGCTGTTGGCTTTACTGTGAACCATGTGATAGACATCTAGCTATCTTCCAGCACCCCCTTCCCCTGCTCCCAGGGAGATAATTATCATAAAGAAACACAAGTGTCTAAAGGTGTAAATAGCAAACTTATGCCTGAAAAGCACAGGGCACCATAAGAAACAGAGCTTATGTCCTGAAATTGAATTAACTCTAATGTTGATTTATGGAAGTATACAAAATGTCTAACTGAAAGACTAGGTGCTGAGCCTCCAGTTTGTGTTGCTCTTTGTTAAAGCTTAAGGTTAATTGTCGAAGCTTTAGTACACAGGGCTGCGTGAGAATGAAGTGAAGAATCAAGTCTCTTGTGGCATAGTATTAGCATTTAAGTCCTGCCTGTTCCAGAGCTGTCTCAACATTTCTGAATAGGTTGTTTTTTTTTTAAAATACTAATGATCGGATGATGTGTGCTTGTGGACTTAATGTTCCACAAAACAGTCACCAGATTGCCTTTAATTTCCCCAATTTAAATCCGACCACATTTAAGAAGCTAAATAGTATAAATTGAAAAGTATGCAAGTTAATTGTTATTTGACCTAGAAAAGTGTTTGGGGCTTCAGGCAGTGAGAAGGCAGGGATTAACATCTCCTGCACTTAAGTTTGGTGATGTTGGTGTGCTGATGTAGAATTGTCCCCTGGCTTGCGTTTTTGTTAATGATGGAACAGGTGTGAACACTCCAGAAAGCTGAAAATGGAGGAGAATGTGTTTTGCCTCCTGCTGGAGGTGATGGAAAAAGCAAAATCGTTTATTGAATATGGGGGCTGGTGGGAAAAAAGGTAAGAGGAGCCTTGTCATCTTTTTGGATGGAGAAGAATAGACGAGCATAAGTATGAGAAAGAGAGATGTGGGTGAGTGTGCTATTGTTCACTGGCCAAAAAAGATGGCACATCAGAAATGGAGATGTTGCAATGCCATAACAGATGTGATGTAATCTCTTTCCCAAGGTTTTTAAATCGGTTGCACTAACTTTGCATGTTTCCGAAATCAAGTATGTAGCTTCCATTCTTGAAGGCTGTTGGACAAAACCAAACATTCAAAGATAATATGCAGGAGTCTTATGTAGAGTCAAAACCTTTTATTGCATTGCTATGAATTGAGTTTACAGGTTTTCTAAAAGTTACATGCTGTGCAATTACAACAAAGTAACCTTCTCAGTTGAACTAAAACTGTTTTGCCTTATTCTGTAGATTCTACTTATAACATTGCAACTTGAGTACCTGTTATGCTGAACATTGAATGCGAGTAATTCAAATATATTTAGTTCTGTGCTTTGCACTTTTCTGTAGAGTGACATAAGTGCACCCTAAAGTATATTGCCCTGGTCCAATTCTGTGGAACTGCCTTCCTAACCTCTGCCTACAAGGAATTATGTTCAAATCCTATTCAACACAACGGGCATCTCAAATGACTTGATCTGTTAAATCACATTTTTTTATTCTACATTTACAGCCTTGTTCAGATGGAAACTTTCAAGTATTAACAACACCTGATAGCTTGTCTGAACCATCGTTTGCTGTATACCCGATGGACAAGCCCTTCCTCAATCCTGACTTATGCCAATCCTCTGAAAAGCCTGTTGTTGCATATTCTGAGAGCAATAGCAGAGGTATGTAATCAGAAGATTGTTATATAACTGTAATCCATTTATCCAGTGTTTTTATACTCTTGTGTCTGAATGTTCATAATGAATTAAGACTTGGTCAGTATCATTTTGACTTGAATAAATTTGAACAACTTATTCAAATACTCAGTGTAAAACTAAATTACAACATTATGAAGCAATGTATCAGAGAATCTGATCTAATCAATGTAGTCAATAATAATAATATTCTATCAGCTTTCTGAAATACTTGCTAAAACTGAATACTAACATAGAATCCCTACCGTGTGGAAACAGGCCAATCAGCCCAACAAGTCCACAATGCCCCTTTGAAGAGCATCCCACCCAGACCTATCCCGTTATCTTTTCCCTGTAACTCTGTACTTCCCATAGCTAATCCACCTAACTTACACATCCCTGGACACTATGGGCAATTTAGCATGGCCAGTCTACCTGCGCGTCTTTTAGACTGTGGGAGGAAATTTGAGCACCAGGCAGAAACCCATTCAGACACAAGGAGAATGTGCAAACTCCAAACAGTTGCACAAGGGTAGAATCAAACCCGAGTCTGTGGTGCTGTGAGGCAGCAATGCTAACCACTCGGCCACCATGTCACCCCAAAGAAAGGACTGTGACGCGTTGGCCAGGCAACTTCACATTTCCTGCACTGCACTCCATTCGCCAGATTCACCCGCTCATTTAGGGTATTTATATTCCTATGTACTCTTCACAACTTAGTTCTTTCAGTTTTTATTGGGTAAGAAACTGTGGATGTTGCAAATCAGAAACAAAAACAGAAGTTACTGGGAAAAGCTCAGCAGGTCCGGCAACTTTGAATAGAAATCAGAGTTAACGTTTCGGGTCTGGTGACTCTTCCTCAACTGATAGTAGCTAGGAAAACGATCATAAGGCAAAACAACTAATCCTTCTGTTCTTGTAGTTTTATCTCGTTATGTGGTCTAACTTTTTGGGGCGGGGGGATAGAAAATTATAATGTATAAGCCAATGTTTCTTTCATGCTAACTTTTTTATAAATTAATATTTTTATACATTTAAATCCTTGGAAATACATGCTAATGATGTTTAGTTGAATATACCTATCAAGATTGACTTTGTTTCTGCTTTTGACATTTTAATTTAGCTGTACTTTCAGCATTAAGAAATCTTCAGGAGAAAATTCGTAGGTTGGAGGTGGAGCGAACACAGGCAGAGGAAAACTTGAAGCGGATGTCCAAAGGTGCAGCTGAGAGCAAAAACATCTTGGATAAGAGCCAGCAAAAAGAAGGCATTGCAGAGCTTGAAGTGGCACAACATAGTCAAGGTTGGTCGAAATGGTTTGTTATTTGGAACTTTCAAAACTAAAATCTGGCACTTTTTCCTCCATCTAGAGGAAGCTGAATATTTATAATATGTAATCCTGATAGTTATGGGCAGGTATCCATCTGCTAATGTATTGTTTGTTTTAAAACTGCTTGTTAGAGTCTGGAAACAACAGACTTTTGTGCATTTCCCACTTATCTGCATTATAATATTTTGTTTCATACTGTGGATAGAAAATTGTGATATTAAAAAGTATTTTGTAATATCCTACCAATTAAGCATAGTTTTGAATCTGAGCAAAATGTTAACTCAATTTTTAATCTCCAGCATTGGCAGCACAATTGTCAGCAGCAGAATCTCGTTGTAACATTCTGGAAAAGCAGCTGGAATATATGAGAAAATTGGTGCAGAATGCTGAACTGGGGAGAGAGATGGCATTGCAGAGACAGGTAATGGTGAAGTTATCAAGCAAATCAAAAATGCAAACCCAAAATATTCAGGCTGACCCTTTTTATGATCACTGAGTAGGAATTGGTGACTGCTCTTTATATGGGAATGAAGATTTACCATGTCTGAACTTGAATGTGTACCTCCCAGCACTTGACCTTTTCTGTAAATGGATGCAGTATCAAAGTGACTCAATTTGGATGTCAGGTGTTCTGGCACCACCTTTGTGGAGAGAAACTGGGTTAATGTTTCAAGTCCTATATGGCTTCAGAGTTCTGAACTTCTCTGGCATTTTCTGTTTGTTTCATATTTCCAGCATTGAGTATTTTGCTTCAACTTGATCTTACAATGCTAACTTGTTCATCTTGCAGAAACAGATTTCTCAAGATAGCAACATATGCTAGCTGATTTTGAAAATGCCCTTGGATTAGTTGATTTTACTACTTTCATATCTGGCAAATATTTAAAGGTTGGAAGGCGTTTAGGTATTTTACTACAAATTGTTTGAACTCCTGCTTAATTCAAGAAAAATTACTGTAGCTAGATTTTAAGTTTGTTTTATTTCTTGACATAGGTATGCCAAAAATTATTTGACTTCAAGAACGCAATTGTTTCCTAGTTTTCCTATATCCATTTTCTCAACATTGTACTGTTCCTTTTTAAGCTTTAAATAATGGTTCTAAGGTCCTTTTTTAGAAAGGACTGTGTTGGAAAAGGCAGTAAAGCCACAATACTGATAAATACTTCTTACCGTATTGGGAAATATTCAAACGAATAATGGAAATGCTATGGTTAGAATAGATGAACAGAAAATAATTCCAGTCTCTGGGAGTTACATTATCGACTTTCAGATACTATTGGAGATTAAAGAAGCTTAATACCAAAACTATCTAGATATAGTGGGAAGCTAATTTCCAGATCAACTGATGGAAGCAAAACAACTAGAATAGCCAAATTGGCAATTTTTTAAAGTTGGTTTTCTGGAAAAATGCTTTTTCTTTTTTAACGAAAGAGCTAGTTGTATTAAATTTAGTGAGGATTAATCATAATGTAAAATATCATTTTGTGAAGACATGAATTGTCCAAGATATTTGAGGGATCAACCAGGATTGACCACCATAAAGCAAAATCATCTTAATAGCTAAAACTGGATGGGCAGTGAGAGGCATTCAATAAAGTATTTGGTAAATTCCAAGAGTAAAAATATGGCTATTTCATACAAAAAAAGCTCTTGATTTAGGTAGTCTTGGTCGACAAAGAGAGATGGATGGAAACAGTTGAAATCTTGGACCTGACCACATTTTAAGGATGCTGTGGGACCAATAATTTTTTTTTTAAGTATATACTTATTTTAAGTATTCAGTGGTTAGCACTGCTGCCTCACAGCGCCAGAGTCTGTGCAGAGATTGCACATTCTCCCCGTGTCTGCATGGGTTTCCTCCGGGTACTCCGGTTTCCTCCCACAGTTTAAAGATGTGCAGGTTAGGTGGATTGGCCGTGCTAAATTGCCCATAGTGTTCAGGGATGTGTAGCTTAGGTGGGTTATAGGAGAATGGGTCTGGGTGGGATGCTCCAAGGGTCAGTGTGGACTTGTTGGGCCGACGGGCCTGTTTCAGCACTGTAGGGATTCTGTGAAAATGTGAGATCCTGAGTACTTGATATCACATCGCACTGCTCCTATTGTGATTAGACTTGCTGCCACCATTCCTTTTCTATGGTAGGAATCTACAAGCTCCCTTGACTTTAAGCAGTTGAGGGGAAACCACTTGGTAGTCTAATGAGAGGATGCTGTAATTTTAAACAAAAATTTCATTTGCATAATGGTAAGTATGTTAGCTAATATAATTGATATTGCTACAGAAATTGAGGAAGACCCAGATGGTAGGTCTTGCTCTGTTCTTCTCTCTGCAGTTCTTCTTTCCATTCCACCTCAAAGCCTTTGTGATGTCATATCGGGTGGTGTTAACAGCATTAACCCTTTCAGATTTTTACTCCTTTTGTGTACAATGCTGAATTGGTACAGTAATATCCACAACACGTGCAACTTGCATTCTAACACTCCAGAATTAACATGAGGTAGAAATGGGGAACAGACACTCGTTGAATACCCCACAAAGTATATCAAATTACAAATGCAATGAAGATAGTCCACAGATTTCTGAGCAACTTACCCAGATGCTAGTGACACAGTGGGTCATCAAAGCTTGTTCAAACTTTGAAAGTTTCCAATTTCTTCCCTTTCAGAAGATTCTGCTTTAATTCCCTCAAAAGCCATGTCATCACTGTTTCACTAATACTTCACATTGTGATAGTTAACCCTTTGTTGTGATATGCTCAATCTGTGTTGAGCACCACTTGGATGAAACACCTGAGTGGCAAAGATGCAGTAAGCTCTGGAAGGGAGACTCCATGTCACTCGCCAAGAGTGGTTCAGCAGCACTTTCATTTGATCATATCATAGAAATCATAGAATCTCTACAATGTGGAAACAGGCCCTTGGCCCATCAAGTCCAAACTGACCCTCAGAGCATCCCACTCCAGACCTATTTCCCTACCCTTTCCCTGTAACCCACCTAATCCACACATCCCTGATCGGCATGTGCAGTTTTAGCATGGCCAATCTACCTAGCCTGCACATCTTTAGAGTGTGGGAGGAAATTGGAGCACCCAGCAGAAACCCACACAGACACAAGGAGAATGACTGTCTGTGTGGAGTTTGCACAGTTGCCTAAGGGTGGAATTGAATCTGGGTCCCTGGCGTTGAGGTAGTAGTGCTAACCACTGGGCCACCGTGCCGCCCTTGTTGTGTTTGAACCCATAGGGTGTCTTGCTGAGGTTCTCCTGGTAGTGGTGACTGCACCGATGCAAGTCTTCACAGCCTTCTGTTAAACCAAGTATTCTTAAAGGACCCAGTTGCTAGGGACTGCAGCAGGCCTTCTTTTAAAAAAAACAATTTTATAGGAAAAAACATACTTTGCCTCATCCTTGCCCGTCTACCTGCCACACCAAGCATCTGTTCATGAGTGTTGCACATTCTTCTGAGGCAAAGTCCTGTCTGCATGTTGAGGAGATCCTGAATTGTGTTGCAGGGTGCTAACACTGCGCTAAATAGGATCAGCTTCAAACAGATGTAGCAACTCCAGGCTGGACATTATAAAGCACTGTGGGCATCAACAGCAGAATTGTACTGGAACACAAACTGTAACCTCAAGCCCCAGCATAATTTCCTAACTCCATTTACCCTTAAGCCAGGGGATCAGCACTTCTTCAATGAAGAATGCAGGAAGACCTTTCAGGAACAGCACCAGCTACAGCATGGGGCTACTAGCATGCCAAATAGCAAGCGATGGATTTCATAGTTGGTTAAGGAATTGTTGTAAGTTGTGCAGTCCAGCTAACATTCCATCATGAATGGTGATGGACAGCTGAGTTCACTTGAAGGTGGCTCCACAAATATCACGATCGTTGGGATATGGGATGCCAACTTCAGTAGCAGTGTAACAGATGAGGCTGAAACACTTGCAATGATCTTCAGCCAGAAGTGCCGAATGGATGATCTATCCCGACCACCTCCTGACGCCTTTAACTGATTCAGTTCATTCCTCGTGATATCAAAGAATGTCTGCAGATGCTGGATACTGGAAAAGCTATATGCCCTGAAAGTATTCGGGTAATAGTACTGAAGATGTGCTCCAGAACTTGCTGCACCCATATCCAAGCTGTTCCAGTTTAGCTACAAGACCCACAACAACCTGCTAAATAACTGGCCCATTGATCTACTTGTTCACATTCTTTATGACCATGTCCATCACTTTGATAATATTACTGATTATTGATAATCACCTGCAAATAGATCTCTGTTTGGGTTCCATCTACGCAGACTCAGTTTTGACCTCATTACTACCTTGGTTCAAACATGGACAAACGAGTTGAATTTCTGTAGTGAGGGTGATAAATTGCCTGTGATATCAAGGAGCCCTGGCAAAACTAGTTGCCAATGGAAATTGGGGAAACTGTCCAACTCAGCTTTTTTTGAGCTGTACTGTGCACAAAGAGAAAATGTTGTAGTTGTTGGCCATTCATCTCTGCTCCAGGACATCTTTTGCAGGAGTTGTTCTCTCTCATTCAGCTGCTTTTTCCTCTGAGACTTCGGGTGACAGTCCTGAATCCCTATATGGTTGACCATTCATAGTGGGCAGAAAATTCTTTTTTGTTTAAAATCTACTAGCTTAAAAATGATTCACTAGTCTAATAGTCAGAAAGGTATACACTCATGACAACTGAAGATGATTCACTAGTATCAATCCCACTAAAATTGTCAAGGCTGCATTGTGCTCTCTAGAAGAAATGTTAAGGAACTCTCTCCTTCAAGGCAGTTGTTTGACACGTATTGCCACCTGACTAGGACTGACCAGGATTCGTCTGCACTTGTTGACGTATCCTGTTTCTAGGGCTGATTGTTTACACTGTCACACACTTGAATTCTTCTAGTGAATTGGTGTGAGTAGTTGTGCCCTTTGTCAGAATTATCCTTGTCCACCTTCATCAAGTTAGTTTTCATTATTTCTTTTCCCCATGAGCAACCCTGTTATTTTCCTAAGCTTTGTGTTAATAGATACCTGTGGTTCCAGGTCATTTGTTTGATATTAGTTCCATCGAACATGGTGACATTTAATGACACCTTCCTTTTGTCTTTAGTAGAACTTAGAACAGTACACTACAAAGCAAGAATAGGCTTTTCAACCCACCATGTCTGTGCTGACCATGATGCTATTTTAAATAAATTCTAACTGCCTACAGATGGTCTGTGTTCCTTTATTCTTTGCCTGTTCATCCTTGTTTCTTGGAGGTTTTTTTTTTGTTTTGACAAGGGTAACTGCAGATTTATAAAGTCTTGTTACTCGAAACAAAACCACATACTAGAAAATTCAACTAAACTTTTGGTTTTAAAAAGAACTCCAATTTCTAACCTTGGGGAAAATCCAAAACAAGTTTAACATAACTTTTTTAGTTTTGAGCTCTACTATTGAGAATGATATTAAAAGCTGTTCTTCACTTGAAGTATTGTAGAAATCTAAATATGCAAGTGCAGTTAGGGTTATGCCATTTAAGAATTTCAACACTGGAATTTGATTTCTGAGACATGCATTTGAGAATTACAGAACCAGTAAAATTCAATGAAGTTCTGAGGTAGAGCAGCCATTGAACTTTGGAATGGAATTAATAGCCTGAATAGCCTCCTTCCTCTGGTTGTTCAAGTTGTTATATTTTTGAGCGAATTTGCATTTCCAAAGTGGCAGTGTGTCAAGCAGAACCCATAGTATACTTTTTTAAAACCATTTCCATTGTATTTTTTTTTCTAATCAAGGCACCTTTGGAAAAGAAGAACTTGGTGGAGCAATCTGATCTACAATCGAAGCTTGAAAAACTTGACTTAATCGAACGAGAATATCTTAGACTCACAGCAACGCAGACTACAGCAGCGGTTCGTGTGTTACGTGTCCACATTTTTTTTTTTTGTCTGTTTCCTATTTCCAATGCATATGATGATTTCTATCGTAAATCAATGTTTAAAAACAAAAATGGGATCACCAGCATTTGAACAGCCAGATTTTATGGTCAGTGGCAAAAGATCTGTCGTTTGTCTTGCTGATAACAATCTTCCAGACCTTTTTGCAGGCTTTTGACTGGCAACTTGGCATCAGACACCTGATCTAGTGCGCAAGCCTCGACAGAGAATCTGTCGCACGAGTGTGTGAAACCATCATCAGCAAAACTTAATTTAATCTGAGGAAGGGTCACCGGACCCGAAACGTTACCTGTTTTCTCCTCCACAGATGCTGCCAGACCTGCTGAGCTTTTCCAGCAACTTTGTTTTTGTTCCTGATTTACAGCATCCGCAGTTCTTTCGGTTTTCATTTAATCTGATCTGTTGAAGAATTTTGCTGAATGTGAGCAAGGAAGCATAGTATATTTGAATCCCTTTTCTTTTGTATGGAAAGTGGAAAACAAGGTAATGAGCAGAAACAAGAGACAAATAAAACCAAATGAAAAAATCCCATTTTAAAATCTCCAACATTAAGAAGCAAGACATACTTTTGTAACATGTTTTGAATATCTGGTTGCTTGACAGTAGTTGTAACTCATTCACACTGTGTTAAAGTTTAACTCATGAAAGCGCCAGTCTTCTTTTTTTTTTTAGTTTTAGTGTAAACTGAGCAAGTGAGTAGAGAAACGTCATGCTCATGTGCATTTCAGTACAGAATTTCTTGGCAAGACACTGTTATAACCCAGTTTCTGGAAAAATAAGACCAGTTGGACAGCAACTACCAGGTTTCAGGTTTTTAACTATGCGCTGGTGTACACTAACATTTCATGTCCAATTTTTATTCTGTAATAGAGCTGATAACTGCATGCTGTTTTATTCTTGGCAAAATCTCTAACCAGTGCATGACAATCTGAATTATTAAACAAAGCAAATCAATTGCAATTAAAATGCTGTAATAAGTCTGTATGGTTCTGTAGATTATAGATGATATTTCCTTCTGCCTGAAGTAATTATGACAGCTAGTTGCTTTTGTTTACTGCACAGAAGAAAATTTCTGAATTGGAACAGAAGTTAAGAGAAGAAGAACATCAACGAAAACTGATACAGGATAAAGCTGCACAGGTTAGTGTGAGGGATCTAATACTATTGTTAAAACATTTGGGAGTTTAAAGTTGGACCGTATAGGCTCAAGAACCTAACTTCAGCCACAGCAACTAAGGGGACAACAAGGAAATAGGGGGCAATCAACGCAGGACTTGAGTGTTGCACTTAAATGCAAACATTATACGAAAAAGGTGAATCAGTGTGTAGTACAGATTGAAATTGGGTCCAAAGGTGTGGGTATCACAGATGTGGCCGCAAGGGGATCAGGGTTGGGAACAAAATATCCAAGGAAATGTGTCCTGGTTGAAAAAACAGGCAGATGAGGAGAGGTTGCCTTGTTAGTAAGGAATAAATTTAAATTGTTATTGAGAAATGATCTAGGGATCCTGTGTGGGTAGAGTTGAGGAACTGCAAAGGGGAAAAAAAGGAATTATGTGCAGGTATCCTGGAAGTACTCTGGATGAGGGGCAGAAAATAAAACGGGAGATAGAAAAGGCATGTAAGAAAGTCACTATTATAATCATGGGATCTGCTAACAACCTGATTTTTCCCAGTCCACCTGCATACTGTACCCCAAGAAAAGAAGGCTTGTGGAATGCCAATGAGATGGGTTTGTTTTCTTTTTTTGAATAGCTTGTGGGGACCAGGCAATTCTGGATTGGGTGATGTGTAATGTGACAAATGGGATTAGAGAGCTTAAGGTGTTGTAACCCCCTAGGGGGCAGTGACCATAATATGATAGAATTCACCCTGCAGTTTGAGGAAGAGAAGCTGCAATCCAAGGTAATGGTCTTTTACTCAATTGTAAAACATGAGGAGCTGGCCATAGTTGGTTGGAACGGGAATCTTGCAGAGAAGATGTTGGAGCACCAATTGCAAGAGTTTGAGGGTAATTCAGGAGGCACTGGAGAAATTCATTCCAAGGAAGAAGAAACATACTAAGGGAGGATGAGGCAACCATGGCTGACGAGGGAAGTCAGGGATAGCGTCAAAGCAAAAGGCAGTCAATGTGGTGAAGATTAGTGTAAAGCTTTTCCAAAAAAAAGCCGAGAATTACTAAATTACAAGGGGGTGGGGGGAGGAAGGGGAGACAATGAAATGAGAGTAAGCTAACTATTAATGTAAAATTGCAAGAATGGACATGGGAGGAGAAGTAATGGGGAACAGAAAAATGGTGGAAGATCCTAACAGCACAGCAGAATTTCAAGAGTCATTTTCGGAAGCAAGTGTCGCAGTCGTCATTAGGGAGAGGGTATTGGAAAGTTGAAAATTCTGATGGTGGATAAATAATCCTGGACCAGATGGACTACAGCCAGGGTTCTGAAGAAGATATCTGAGGAGACTGTGGCGGCATCGGTGGTGGTCCTTGAGGAAACAGTGGAGTCAGGGAGGGTTCCAGAGTACTGGAAATTGGCTAATGTAACACCCCTGTTTAAGAAGGGAGGGAGGCAAAAGAAGGAAATTATAAGCCAGTTAGCCTGACCTAGGTAGTTGGTAAGATTTGAGAGTTTTTATTATTAAGGATGAGATTGCAGAGTACTTGGAAGTGCATGGTAAAATGGGGCTAAGTCAGCACAGTTTTGTTAAGGGGATGTTGTGTCTGACAAATCTTTACCTTCTCAAAGAATTCAATGAGTAAGTTAGATCAAGTAGAACCTGTGGATGTGTTAGTTTGGATTTCCAGAAGGCCTTCAACGTGCTCCACAGAAGGTTGCTAAATAAAATGAATCCATAGTGTTAGGGACAAAGTACTGCCATAGATAAAAGAATGGCTGACTGAAGAATGGGGGTAAAGTGGCCTTTCAGGATGGCAGCTGGTGACTAATGGAGTTCTGCAGGAGTCAGTGTTGGGACCACAACTATTCGCATTCTAAATTTAATGATACGGATGAAGGAGCTGAGAGTATTGTTGCTAAGCTTGCAGATGACACGTATGAGTGGAGGAACAGAAGACAGGCTGCAGAATGTCTTGGACTGGCTAGGAGAGTGAGCAAATATGACTGATGGAATGCAGTATGGCAAGGTGTAAGGTTATGCACTTTAGTAGGAAGCATAGAGGTGTTGATTACTTTCCAAACTAGGAAAGGCTTTGGAAATCTGATGCACAAAGGTATTTGGGAGACCTAGCTTTTGAAATGATTTTGTATGAACATGGTTAAATATTCCACAGTCTTTAACAACTTTTGAGGTATGTACACATTTTTAAAGGCTGGAATTCTATTTGGTTATGTTTGCATATTTGAGGATTTTTGTTATAGTTGCAGACTGGCCTGGAAAGAAATAGAATTTTGCTACAAGCAGTGTCGCCAATGTTCCCAAAAACAAAGAGAGCAAGAAGCAAGAGGAAGCAGCCAGTCCAGGTAGAGTTGATACTTGCTATAGCTAACAAGAACTGACTGGTTCTACAAGGATTTTGAAGCATTCAGCAAACTTTTAAAATACTACTTTTGGTTTAGGGTTGGTAAATGTGACTAGAAAAATAATGAAAATTTCATTAAAAGTACACCTTGTCTGAAAAACACATTCAAGAATTTTTGTATCAGAAGATTATCTGTTACCGCCATCCAAGATGCAGATGGGTTGGAATTGAAGTGATTAATGGAATAATGACAATGTGAACAGTGGTAATATCACTAGACTAGAAATCCAAGGGACTGAGAATATGTGCCATCTTGTCAGTATGTGAAGTTTCATAATCTCAAAAACTAGTCCATCGTTAACCAGGAAACCATTGTTGACTTTTTGTAAAAACCCATATGGTTCACTAACCCTTTTTTTTTTTAAGAAGGGAAAGAAAACTGCCCTCACCAGGTCTGGCCCGTAGGTGACTCTGGATCTGCAGTTATGGTGTTGATTTATTAAATGTGACCTGCAATGGCCTAGAAAACCACTCCATTGAACCAAATCTAAGAAAAGGATTGAAATCAGACAGATCAACTTGGTCACTGAAAAAAAAATCTCCAATTGAGCCCTGTCAATCTTATTAAGTCTTACTTCCTAATATCTGGGTGTTTGTGTGGAAAAAAGCTCAACTAGCGTTTGGAAAATCTACCAGACACCACCACCATCTCATGTCAGAAGTGGCAGAATGGAATACAGTCAGGACCCCAGTAGTTTTCTGACATCGGGTCAAATATGGGCAAGTAGACCTCTTGCTCATGTACTAGCAACTGCACTCCTCTTGGCTGATGAATCAGTACTCCATGTTGAACGCCAATTGGAATACTCTGGATGGGGAACTTGAAATTCTATTGCTAAGACTGGTTTAGTAGTACTGCTACAGGATATTGGCAGAAATTCAGTCTGGCAGCTGACAGCGAGTAATGCAAAAGGAACGTATAACCTACTTGAATTGCATCCTTGGCAATTTTCCTGTTGCAGAGGCATCTAGCTGTGACACTCCTAGTAGAAGTGACCATCTCTCAGACCTTGTGGACATGATGTCCCCTCTTGTATGGCACTGCCACTGTAGTGCCTGACAGATTTGAAATAGACTCAACAACTTCAAAATTTGATATTCATGAACAGTAGCAGCACAGCTGTATTCAACCATAGTCTGTAACTTGTGGTCTTGTGTCCCTATTATCTCGGATGCCAGTCTTCAACCAATTTGACTTGTGTGATATTGGGGTGCTGCAAAACTGTGGGTACTGGCAACTTTCTGATGCAAGTACCGAAGACTTGTGCCCCGGAACTAGATATATCAATAACTAATTCCAGCTCGCGTATACCCAACAATGTAGAAAATTGCTCATCTGTGTCTTGTACACCAAAATGCAAAACAAATCTAGCCTGGCCGATTTAATGCCTTTATTGGTCTGATCTTGACTACGAAAATAATGGAAGTGGTTTTCTGATGGTAGTATTGGACTCATGTGGCAAGTAACATCTGCACCATTCAAGCATTGACCATTCAAAATAAAATTATAATCATTTCCTGATCAATTGCATTACCATTTCTCAATCCCTTGCCTTCAACCTCCTGGAAAGATTGCTGTTGACAAGAAACAGCTGTATGAGTTTTTTTTTCTAAAACCAGCGTTCTTAATGTTTACGACCACCTTCAATGACATGTCGGTACACCACCTTTCTAACATTTGTCTGTTGCCTCTTCCTATTTTCATAATTTCACCATCCTTTGACTTCCATCTGCCATGTTTTCCTTTTTAAGCCTATATTGTCTTCATTAATGATTTTCAATGTATAAGAATGCATTGTAATCTCCATACTCAAGTCTTGGTTATTACGAACAATCGTCCTAATGCCAATTCCTGAGGGATACCACTACCCACCTCCTTTCTCCTTTGGAAATAGAATTGCTCACTACTCCTGTGCTTTGTTCTCTTGGGCGCCTGTGTTCATGCAACTACCATCCCTTTGGCATGCGCCTCAGTTTTGGCACTGTTACAAAAATGTCCACTGTCTTCATTTAATCATCTGTTACTTCATCAAAGCATGTTGCATAAAAACCTCCCAAGTGTACTTGGGATATTGATTTGAGTGGATTAATATTTGACCAGGATGCTGAGGCAAACTCCTATTCTTAAACAGCACTATGGATCTTCTGCATCTGCTTCATTGTAGGCTGGTCTTCTGCTTAACACCTCTTTCCTGAAAGCACCTTCAATAATACTCCCTTAGTAATGTGCTTTAATACACTGCTTCAGTAGCAGTTGTGTACTGGTAATGCCACTAAATTAGTAATTCAGTGGACCTGGTTATTGCTGTGGAACCAAGGAGTCCTATTCTATCAGCTGCAGTGGTATTTTAAATTTCATTATTAAATCTGGAGTATGACGTCTTGGTGTTGGTGACAATGAATTATCAGGGATTTGTCATAAACATTTGGTTAACTAAGACCTATCTTAGGAGGAAGGCAATCTGCCATCTTGCCCAGTCTGGCGCATGTGGGACTCCAAATCCACCTCGCTGATCCAGATTCTTGCATGTCGTTATGGATTACACCAGTCCTTGTCAATGATGCTCTCATTCCATGAAATAACAATGGAGGATGTAGAGAAAAGTCAACTTGGATTGTGCTGTTCAGGCACTGGAAAGGGACTTGAACCCCCTAACTTTCAGACTTGGGCATGTGCTGCCCAGAAACTTGTGGCCTGACATTAGCCATTGTTTGATATTTTGAGAACTATTTTGCTAGATGATGGTGAAGAGAAAATTGCTGAGCTGTATGCAAATATGTGAATCTCTGACATGTTCTCCCAAGCGTTTTCTTTCTTTTTTCAGAAATCTTGTACAAACCATTCGCATGCACAGCCTCATTATCGCTTCAACTTAAATGATGTACCATTTGTTGCAGGAAAAGTGAGTAACTGCATCAATTTTGCATCTAGTTCTAGTGCTGCTATGCATTATTCTTGCCATGCTGGCACATTATTTATTGCCTTTGTTTATTCAAGTCTTTTTACACATAGTTTTGAATGTGGCTGGTACTGTTGATTGAGATATGCAAGGCTGTACCTCCTTGGCTGAATATCAGTGAATTTTAATAGCTTTCAAGAGAACTTAATAGTAAACCAATCTTTATTTCAAGCATTCTTTTAATACACCTTTTATTTCCTGTTGTTGGTCGTGTCATTTTTCATCCACCTGGAGTCATGTTTGCCAGGCATCACTCAAGAAAGGATAATGAGCCATTTCTGAATGATATGTAGAGTGCATTCATGTTGTCTGGTTATGGTTATTTATACTTTCCAAAATACAGCAGTTGAATTTGAATACCATAAACCATTATTATAAACATCTGATTCACAAGAGTCCTTGGATGAGAGAGCCTGCTATCCTCCCTGGCCTTTGCAACTCCGGTCCCACAATGTTATCGGGCTAAATGACCTATCGCAGTATCACTTTACACTTTTTTTTTTAAATTTTGAGTTTCATTTTCATGTTTTAAATTCTGAAGCATTGGCACCTAATCTGCTGCAATCAATGTCATCTGTTGTCAGTGTGCCATAGCAGCACTGTACCATCTATAAGTTGCACTGCAACGATTTGCTAAAATTCTTTCAGATATCTCAAACTCTCAACTACCACCTAGAAGAACAAGGGCAGCAGATGCAGGAGAATACCACCTGCAAATTCCCCTCTAACAGAATTATAGCACCATTCCTAATTGCTGGATCGAAAGCCTGGAATTCCCTTTCTGAAGTACATTAAAGGTAACTGGCTACCATCTTCTGAATAGACATTAGGGGTGGACAACAAATGTTCACTTTGCCAGTGATGTGTCATCCACTGAATTTTTAAAAAGGCTATAGAAGTTTTGTTGCAGTCTTTTATATTTGGTTACGTTTGACTTTGCCTACAGATTTGGTCACTTTTTTTTAAGCTTGTTTGGGATTCTTCTCAATATCAACTGCTTAATCTTTGAAAGAGGGGAATAATCCTTGCATTCTTCACACCAGAAAGATGTATTAAATTGTGGATTAATAAAGATGAGAAGGAAGAATCGTCGATTATATAATTACTTGCCATATAAAGAAGCTTTCATCAAAATGTTTAATAGGAAACAGTTATTTTCAACTTATTAACTTATTGCCATGTTCAATTTCCTAATACCTTTTTTGTTATTCAGTCTGCAAGTCCAAGCCATTCAGTCCGTGCAAATGTTCAGCATGTCTTGCATTTGTTGAAGCAGCACAACAAGATTTTGTGCAATGATCGTGTTGTCAGTGACCAGCCAATGGTTGGGGACAAAATCTCTCAAGTTTCCAATATAATGCCTGACAGTTCTTCTGGATCTACCATTTCCTCCACATCTCATGAGGTGCTGTCTGAATTACTGTTGGCACTGCAAGATGAGTTTGGGCAAATGAGCTTGTAAGTGTACTGTTTCTCTGCATGTAATTGCCTAGTAGGATTTTGAACTTGATAGTTTGTGAATACTGTTTCTTTGGCTTTATTCTATAGCTGCATGTAAAATATATGGGCACTCTTATGGAGGTATAAGTTTGGCTCTGGTGAGGGTCTGAAACTGGAGTGTTTTTGGTGTCGGCCAAGGGTGAGTAGACAGCTGAAGAACTGGTGTATAAGGAAGCTGAATACTATCGATCTGGTTGATCGAGTAAAGAATAAGCTGAAAGTACAAGTTGAGCAAACACCACCTTTTAACTGGTGCCAATTATATTCATTATTTTCCATTTTTCTCCTTGGCTCTATTCTGTGTGCCACCCAGGGATGCAGCGTTTGATGTAGGGAAAGAACTGTTTAGGGATACATTACCCTTTTTTTATTCCAATTTCTTTCTATTCTCTGACCCTCCTTCCCCCTTTCTGAAATGCACTATTGAACCACTTTGGTACGCGGGGCACAGCACAAGCTAAAAACTAAATTTTCAATTTCCCTGCAGATAATGCATGCTGTATGTTTTATTTTAAATCTAGTGAGCACCAAGAATTGGTGAACCAAATTCATGAAGCAAATTCAAATGCAGCGAGAAAGGACTTGGAACAAGAATTAGAGTCACTGGTGAAGAGAATAGAAGCAAAAGGAGATCAAATCAGGAAAGTCCGTAAACACCAGGCATCGGTAAGGATGAAACTTCTAAGTAGGTCAGTTCCTACCAACACCCAGTGGTGAGGAAAATACTCTACCTACATGTCTTACCTATCTACATTGCTTGCCGCTACCAAAATACTTAATACAAATTCATGGAGGCATAGTGTTGTCATTAATGAGACATGTAATGTCTAGTTTGAGCTGCAGATGTGCTCTCCTATTTAGCTCCATATTCAACTATTTCCTCCACTATTTCACCCCCACAATATTGAAAATCCAATTTGCGGTTCTTTGTTGCCCCAGTAACAATTCCGCTTGTAAATTCAGACTCCATTGCTTGCATTTATGACAGTGTGCTGTGCATGTGGAGGCCTGTGTAATTGTGTAATGCCATTAGTGATGGGGAAAGGATCCTAGCCTGTCTTCTTGATGTGACCTGTAGATGATAACTGCTAATGTGTATTTTCGACTTCTTTCAAGGACACTGTCATTTTAAAATTCAAAATTGTTTATTGTCCTGAATTTCTAGGTTTTATCTGTTTCTCTTAAGGCTCTAAAATAAATTATTTTCTATGCTACTAACTATGTTTCAAGATTGAATTTCCTAAATTTGTTTTTATGGAAGAATATACATATGCATTTCATAAAATTGTGGCTCTATTTATGATGCTATTCCTCTGATTTTTTTTTTGTATTTGAACAATACATGAGAACAAATGGAGTGTTGAAGCAATTCATTGAACAGTAATTCAAACTGATTCATCATTTAGATTAGCTTTTACTTAAGGTCACCTTTAATGTGGTCTCTCTTGATGTGATACCGAAACGCAATAAATGTGTGTATACACATGATGTGGGAACCGGAGTAGGGCATTTTGCCCTTCGAGCCTCCTACACCACTCAATAAGGTCATTGGTTTGATTTTTGGCATTCTTGTCAACCATGAAAATGCTTCATTCACTTGGTTATCAGGAATCTATTTACCTCTGCCTGGAAAGCATTCAAAGACTTCACTTCCTTCCCTTTTTTTTTTTTGAAGTGTTCTAATCATTTCATGACCCTCCCGAGATTGTCCTTATCTCTGTTTTAAATGGCTAACCCTTTATTATTTAGACATTGCGTGTGGTAATATCCTTTCCACACGTATCCTGTCAAGACCCCATGGGATCAAGTTTTAATGAAGTTACTTTTAGAATTCTAGAATCCAGCAAATACAAGCATAACCTGTCCACCCTTTCCTTGTAAGAGAAAAATGCTAATTTTAAGATGTAAGTCCAGTAATCCTTGAGGTTATAGACCTGCTCACTCAGCTGGTGGGTTTGGATGCAAACATTTTGACACCCTCCTAGGTATCATAGTCTGTGTGCCTCCAGTGAAACGTCTGTGTTATGTCCCACTTGTTGTTTATATACCTCAGTTTGCTAGGGTGCTTGGTATTCAGGTTCTGTTTTTCAGTGGTTTGTACACAGGGTCTAATTCAATGTGTTTGATGGACTTCTGGTTGAAATACCAGGAATTCCCTGGCATGTCTCTGTTTTAGCTTGTGTGATTATGGATGTGTTGTCTCAGTCAAATTTATGTCCTTCGTCCGTGTGTAGTTGGTCGTGTCTTTTGATGGCTAGTTGGTGTTTGTGTATCCGTTTAGTCAGTTTTCTTCCGGTTTGGCCTATATAGTGTTTCTCACAGTCCTTGCATTGTATTTTGTATATTACACCGGTTTTGCTGGTTTTGGGTATGGGATCCTTTACGTTCGTCAGTAGTTGTCGGTTTGTGGGCTGTTGTGATATGGAGGGGTCTGAGTAGTCTTGTAGTCATCTCTGAAATGCCGTTGATGTATGGTCGGGTGATGAGCGAGTCTGGTTGTGTTGTAGTCTGTCTCGGCAGTAACGGCGGATTGTGCTTTTCAGGTATCCGTTCCTTTTTGAAGACTCTGTATAGATGCTTCTGTTCTGCTTTGCATAGTTCAGGATTGCTGCAATGTGTTGTGGCTCATTTTAGTGTCGTGATCCAGCTCCATTTTGTGGGTGTCGGAGTGATTGCTAGTGTTATTGAGTACCTGGTCTATATCTGTGGTCTTTCTATATACACTAGTGTGGAGTTCCCCATTGTTTTTTGAATTCTACCATTTATGCCCAGGAAGGGTAGTCAGTCGTTTTCTTCTTTCATGAGTTTTATGTATTAATGGATTTCTTCTAGTTTTGTGCATTTGATAATCACAAAGGTGCTGACTACGCATTGGACCCAAAGTTTTAGTTGTATAGTGGCGAGTGCTGATGTTCTAACGTTTTCAGAAGCAGTAATGCAATCAGTCCTGATATTGGGGATCCCATTGGTGTACCGTAGATTTATTTATATATGGTATTGGTGGAGTAGTAGTAGGTTGTGAGGCACCGACCCAGTAGTGTCATGGTGGTGTCCTTATTGATGTTGGTGCCTGGGCTGCCTGCCTACTTGATTTGTCCAGCAACGTGGCAATTGTTTCTTTTGGCTAGGCCGATTTGTTTATGGATGTAAATAGTCAAAGGATATCATCTCGTCCTCTTCTCTTCTGGTGTCCTTGATGATGTTGAGAAATTCTTGGGTTGAGTGGGTCGTGTTGTCCACTAAGTATTTCAATTTCTGTTGCAGTTCTTTGACAAGTCTACATGTTGGTTTACCTGGCAGTGAGACCATAGTATTGAGGGGCACCCCCAGTTTGTGTATCCTGGAGTCCCTACAGACTACAGGGTGTGTTGGATCCCCCTGGCTTCATTTTTTTGGTAGCCTGTCTTGCTGGTGTCTCCTGAGTTGTGTAGTTTCTTCAGGGTTGTTGTAATCTGGTCCCCTCACTGTGGTGTCGAGTCTATCGCCATCTATTGGTAGGTGTCGGTATCTGCTAGTAGTGTGTTTGCTTTCTCGATGTATTGGATTCTATTGAGGATTACTGTCATGTGTCCTTTTTGTCCACTGCTAAGGTTACAATGTACCTGTCTTCCTTGAGTCACTCAAGGGCTTTTCTGTCTTCAGTGTTGACCGTGTTCCAGTTTTTCCTTTTTTGTTTTGCTCAGTGTTGGGACTATTGTCTGTTGTACTACTTCTATGAGTCCGTTGTTCTTTTGGTGTTGATTCCAGTGTTGCCAAGAAGTCAGTCTTTTTGGTGTCTCTGTAGTTGTAATTCAGTCTGCATACAAGGATAGTCTTCTCGGTGTCTGTAAATGATCAGCCCAAGATGTTTTTAACCTGTGAATGTGCGTTGTCCGTGTCATTTGATGTGGGTGATTTTGGACAGCTTTTCTCTTGAAGGGCTGTTCTTGTCTGTTCTCTCTCATCCTCGTCGTCCTGTTCCAGTGTGGATGTCCATTCCTGGTTGATTGTGTTGGAGCACACAGTTTTGTTTTTTTTTTTTGGAGTGCAGTTGCCTGCTTGTATTTATGGAGTCGGTTGTGGGCATCGTCGATCATAACCCCTATCATTCTACAGCCGTTATGTTGAGCTGTCCTCAGTGCCGGTGGTTTATACTTTTTAAGCCTTGTGGTAGTACCTGCTTTGAGGCATTTGTGCAGGAAGTATAGTTATTCACAGGTTGCGCTCAATTGGATGGCATTTGTTTCCCATCTGTTTGAGGGGGTTGCATCTATAGGTGTTTAAAGTTTGAGAAGATTTGTAGTTTTGGCTCTGACTAAGGCTGTAGACACGCTTGCCAAGCCGATGGGTTTGGATGCAAATGTTTCGTCACCCTGCTAGGTAACATCGGTGTACTGTCCCACTTGTTGTTTATGCCTCAGTTTGAAGCCAGTAAGATCTCGATTCTACAACTTCCCCAAGGTACACAATGGGGGTCTCCCTCAGACCCATTGTCTCACTGCCAGGTACACCACCATATAGACTTGCTGCAGAACTACAACAGAAATTGAAATAAGTGGGCAACACTACCCATTCCATCCACTCAACCCAAGAATTCCTCAACATCATCAAGGATACCAGGATAGAAGAGACAAGATGATGCTAACCTTCGATGTGATAGCACTATTTACATCCATAAACATCGACCTAGCCAAAGAGACAATTGCCACACTACTGGACGAATCAAGTAGACAGACAACCTAGAACACCAACAACATCAATAAGGACACCACCCCCATGAACCTGAGGAAGGGTTACCAGACCTGAAACGTTAACATTTTTTTTTTTTTGCTTCACAGATGCTGCCAGACCTGCTGAGCTTTTCCAGCAACTCTGGTTTCTGTCACTTATCACCCTACCATACATCAAAGACATTTCAGAGATGACCACAAGACTGCTCAGACCCATAGATGCCACAGTAGCCCACAAACCGATAACCACCCTATGACCGCTACTGATGAACATTTAAGGATCCCGTACCCAAAACCAGCAAAACTGACGTAATATACGAAATACCATGCAAGGACTGAGAAACACTACATTGGCCAAGCCGGAAGAAAACTGACTGTACGGATACACTAACACCAACTAGCCATCAAAAGACATGACCAATTCTCACTTGTATAATTACACATGGGCAAAGAGGAAATGAGTTTGACTGGGACAATACATCGATAATCTCACAAGCCAAGCAGAATATGCCAGGGAATTCCTGGAAGCCTGGTATTCCAACCAGAACTCCATCAAAAATACATTGAATTAGATCCTGTGTACAAACCACTGAGAAATAGAGCCTGAAGTAATATCAAGTACCCCAGCAAACTGAGGCATACAAATAACAAGCGGGACGGAACACTGACGATGTTACCTAGCAGGCTGATGAAATGTTTGCATCCAAACCCACCGGCTCAGTGAGCATGTCTACAACCTGAGCTACAAATCTTCTTGAATCCAGTAGTCCTCCTTTGTCTTGAATGCATTTGCATTTTCCTTTAATATGGCGACCTATACAGTACCCAGCACTTCAGGTTTTTGCTTTCAAATCTCTCAATTATATTAGCTTTACTAAATGTTTGCAATTCCTCCACATGATGCCCAGGTCCCTCCATGTATCAGTGCTGCAATTTCTCACCATTTGAACAAATGAACTGTTTCACGTTTTCCAGATCTTTGTGCACTCAGTCAATCTTCTATATCACTTTTTGTGGTCTACTTTTATGTCGTTGCAACATCTTCCCTACTTGTCTTTTGCACCAGCAAATTCTATAACTGTGCGTTTGGTCCTTCTCAGCAGATGCTGCCCAACCAGAGTTTCTCAAGCACTTTGCAGGTGCTGGAGATTGGATATAAAAACAGCGTTTTGCTTGCCTTCTCCCTTCACCCAAGTCACGGAATCCCTTCAGTGCAGATGGAGACCGGTTGGCCCATCAATTCAGCATCGCACCAAAGAGCATCCCATCCCTGTAATCCTGCATTTACCATGGTTAGTGCAGTTAGTGTCCAGGGACGTGCAGGCTATGGGGCAATTCAGCATGGTCAATCCACCAAACCTGCATGTCTTCGGACTCTTGGGTGGGGGTGGGGGCGGGGCGGGGTGGTGGCGGTGGAACCTGTGGGAGCTACCTTTTAGAGAGGCAATAAGTGTTCAGGAGGCAAGCGAAGTTGAGGCACGTGGTAATTTTATTCAAGTACCTAGCAGTACAATGTAGGGAGAAGCCAAAGACCACCCTGAATCTGGCCTTGATATGAGGGTTCAGTTACTCTCTCAATCTTCAGCTTAGATCAGAAAAAAAGTCTGACGGTCTATTTTCAATGCAAACAATTCTCATTTTTATTCTTTTCTTATTACCTTAACAGGGTGGCACATACTCCCTCCCCTGCATAATTATTGGTTAATTAGTGCTGTTTTGTCCAACTATGCTGTTACTTTAACAGGATGGCGTGGTGGCTCAGTGGTTAGCACTACTGCCTCACAACGCTAGGAACCTGAGTTCGATTGTACCCTCTGGCGACTATCTGCGTGGAATATGCACATGCTCCCTGTGTCTGCATGGCTTTCTGCCAGGTGCTCAGGTTTCCTAATCTGCACATCTTCAGACTGTGGGAGGTGGATTGGCCAGGCTAAATTGTCCATAATGTGTGTAAGGGGTGTGTAAATTAGGTAGATTAGACGTGGGAAATGCAGGGTTACGGGGGATGGGTCTGGGTGGGATGCTCTTTGGAGGGGAGGTGTGGACTTGTTGGGCAGAATGGCCTATTTCTATACAGTAGGGATTCTATGATTTGGGTTTTTAGTACATCACACTTAATAATTTCTTGTTGCTGTGATCTGATTGGGCCATATTGTTTTGTGAAAAGTTGAACTCTCCATGGTCACTTGTGACCTTTTTATCTCTGAACTATGATGTCTGTATCTGCTATCTTGTACAAGACTAACAGAGGCTTTTGAGATTTCCCACCACTCCAACTCTCTTGGCCACTGTCCTTGATAAGAGTGGCAGGTCCCTCTCTGTTACTTGTAATTAGTATTTAAACCTTTTGTTTCTAATGTTTTGTCTAGTGATTTTTGTGTTTAAATCTATTATTTGTTTGGAAACTATATATATGATTATCTTGAATATTAATTGAAACCTAATTGTAGTATTGTACCTGATTAGGAAAAACTCAAGAAAAATATCTGTGTTAAATGTTCTTATCTTTAGGCTAGCAAAGGATGTTGCACATCCACTTTTGCTGAAAAACAGTAGTTCCATGTGCTGAGACTACATTAAGCAAGTGTTTCCCACACTTTATAATTTCTGTTACTGCAAAGCTTGTTGGGGCTTTTATCAGCCTTTTTTTTTAAATGCTGTTCTGTCATGGGCAGCCCTAACACAACTGGAGCATGTGGTGGAAACCCATGCAGACACGGCACCTACCATCTCCACACAGGCAGTTGCCCATGGCTGGAATTATACCTGGGTCCCTGGCGCAGAGGCAACATTTATTTACGTACTTTGTAAAAATTTGAGACCCCAGCACTGATCCCTGTGACAGCGTTACATCTTGTCAGCCAACATATGATTCATTTCCCTGTTAACTAGACAAACTTCTATCCTTGCCCCAGAACACAAGCTCTTATTTTTCACAGTACAATTTAGTTGACCATGACTGAGCTAGCTGATTTGGCCCAGGCTTGATTTATAATGTTAGCTAGTGTTGTCTGTGGATGTAACATGCCTTACCACCTTGTATTTACCTGGGTGTTTTCCCAAACCTAATAGGAAACCCATCACATGGATGGCTACTACTAGGAATAGGTTAGCAAAAGTGGTTCGGGTTGGACGCTGCATTTAAAAGACCAGCAATGAACATTTCTCCATCTTTCTGCTCCTTTTTCCTTCTGTGATTGATATGGATCTTGTAAGTTGTTTTCACTTTTCTTTTTTAAGCTTAAATTGCAGGAAACCATAAGGAGGAAGCATTGTACCAGTGGAGAATCAAGTTGGAAGAAAGCTCATAAGAATTTAAATGAAGTGCAAGCTAGGGCAGCAACAACCAGAGGAGGTGATACTACTTCTATTAAAGTGCGACCGGGAACTAAAAGCAAAAGGAGCCTTTGCTTATTAAGAGACATGCAGACTCTACAAACTACTCTCCGAAAAGATGATGTTTGTTGGGGCTGTTGAAGTGATGTGAAGGTTTTTGTTTTAACACTGTTGTGAATTTCAATCCCCAATATGCTTGTTTATGTCTCCTTTTTATTTTTTCAATTAATTTGTCTTTTTAAGCAGATGTTCTATGTGAAAAATGGTGAGTGCATGTTTGTGAATTGGAGCTTTTAAATCATCTAGTTTGTGAGTTACCACACTTCAGTGATTTCTCTTTTGACTGACTGTAATGATTGTATGACTTCTAAGTTACAGGTGCTGAGATGCATGTGAATCCTTCAATTGGGGAAAAATTGGAATTCACTTGATCTGTAATTGGAAAGTTGTAGTCTTTTCTTTACTACTGCTGTTATGGTTCCGTTTAGTTTGGTGCTCTGGTCACAGCACCAGTTACTTTCTAAAGTTCAACGGTACTTCATTACAAAACTACAAATTAATCTAAAAGCCTTGTCAATGAATGACCTCCAGATTAGTATCTCAGGGAAAATTATCCATTGAATATATCATCATATTTCAAGGTGACGATCATTTGTGTAAATAACTTTTTTTATTTCTCAACCCTGTATTGGAAATTATGGTTTGTGCCCATTTTTATACATAACTGTTTTTGGTCTATTTTTAAAAATGAATAGACCGTGATGTGATTTTTTTGCTTCTGATCCTGGTGTTCAGCAAAAAGTACCCTTGAGAGAGAATTTCTTTCAATAAAGATTTTGCATTTTTAGGTGATTGACAATCTGCACAAGGATGTTTATGCTTGCATTTTTTTATTACTAATTAATATAAAGAGCACTTATTGCAAAGATTGCAAATCCATGAATTTTATGGATGGCAATTCATGACACTGGAAGCACTAGCAAGTATTTCTGAAAGACTATAATGAATTCATAGTAAAAGAAAAATCTCCATTCCTTTCAGGCCGCTCTTTAAAAAGGGAAAAATCTAGTTCTGTCTGCAAGGGTTTCATACTGTAAGGATTACAGTTATATACTCACGAATTGGGGTGCTACAGGCCATAATCACTGCAAGAATACCCTGTAAATTTGAACAGTTTGACTCTCATTCCTACAACAGCATGAGCCTAATTGGTGTACATAAGAACATAAGAATTAGGAGCAGGAGTAGGCCATCTGGCCGCTTGAGCCTGCCCCACCATTTAATAAGATCATGGCTGATCGTTTTGAGACTCAGCTCCACTTACCTGCCCACTTACTATAACCCTTAATTCCTTTACTGTTCAAAAATTTATCTAGCCTTGCCTTAATAACATTCAGCGAGGTAGCTTAACCACTTCACTGGGTAGGGAATTCCATAGATTCACAACTCTTTGGGTGAAGAAGTTCTTCCTGACCTCAGTCCTACATCTGCTTCCCTTTAGTTTGAGGCGATGCCCTCTAGTCCTCGTTTCACCTGCTAGCGGAAACAACCTCCCTGTCTCCACCTTATCTATTCCCTTCATAATCTTATGTTTCTATAAGAACTCCCCTCATTCTTGTGAATTCCAATGAGTATAATCCCAGTCTACTCAGGCTCTCCTCATAATCCAACCCTCTCAACTCTGGAATCAACCGAGTGAATCTCCTTTGTAGCCCCTCCAGTGCTAGTATATCTCTTAAGTAAGGAGACCAAAACTGCGCACAGTACTCCAGGTGTGGCTTCACCAGGACCCTATACAGCTGCAGCATAGCCTCCCTGTTTTTAAACTCCATCCCTCTAGCAATGGCAGACAAAATTCCATTTGCCTTTTTAATTACCTGCTGCACCTTCAATCCTACTTTTGGCGATTTCATGCACAAGGACACCCAAGTCCCTCTGCACAGCAGCGTGCTGCAATTTTTTACCATTTAAAACATAGCCCATTTTGCTGTTATTCCTACCAAAATGGATGACCTCACACTTATCAACATTGTACTCCATCTGCCAGACCTTTGCCCACTCCCTTAGACTATCTATATCCCTCTGCAGACTTTGTGTCTTCTGCACACTTTGCTCTACCACTCACCTTAGTGTCATCTGCAAATTTTGACACTACACTTAGTCCCCAACTCCAAATCATCTATGTAAATTGTAAACAATTGCGGTCCCAACACTGATCCCTGAGGCACACCACTAGCCACTGACCGCCAACCAGAAAAACACCCATTTACCCCTACTCTGTTTTCTACTAGTCAACCAATCCTCTATCCATGCCAATACACTACCTGTAATACCGTGCAATTTTATCTTGTGTGGCACCTTGTCAAATGCCTTCTGGAAATCCACTTACACCACATCCACAGGTTCCCCATTGTCCACCATGCAAGTAATGTCCTCAAAGAATTCCACCAAATTAGTTAAACATGACCTACCCTTCATGAATCCATGCTGGGTGTTCCCAATGGGACAATTTATATCCAGATGTCTTGCTATTTCTTCCTTAATGATAGATTCAAGCATTTTCCCCAATACCGAAGTTAAGCTAACTGGCCTATAGTTACCTGCTTTTTGTCTAGTTCCTTTTTTAAACAGTGGCGTCACATTGGCTGTTTTCCAATCTGCGGGAACCACTCCAGAGTCCAGTGAATTTTGGTAAATAATTACTAGTGCATTTGCTATTTCCCCCATCATCTCTTTTAGTACCCTGGGATGCATTTCATCAGGGCCAGGAGACTTGTCTAGCTTTAGCCCCATTAGCTTGCCCAGCACTGCCGCCTCAGTGATAGTTTCTAGGTCCTCGCCTGCTATAACCTTCTCGCCATTAGTTTTCGACATGTTATTTGTGTCTTCCACTGTGAAGACCGACACAAAATAACTGTTTAATGTCTCGGCTATTTCCTCATTCCCAGTTATTAAATTGTCCTTCTCATCCTCTAAAGGACCAATGTTTACCTTCGCCACTCTTTTACGATTTTAAATATTTATAGAAACTTTTGCTGCCTGTTTTTATATTCTGAGCTAGTTTACTGTCATAATCTATCTTGCTTTTCTTTGTAACTTTTTTTTTTGTGGCTTTCTGTTGGCCTTTAAAGATTTCCCAGTCTACTAGTTTCCCACTACTCTTTTTTTGCTTTTTTTGTATGTGTTTTTTTTCAATCTGATACTTTCCTTTATTTCCTTAGACATCCATGGCTGGCTGTCTTTTCTTACAGTTCTTCCTTATCACTGGAATATAATCGTAATCGTATTTGTATGACTGTATTGACTGTAGTTCCCCTCTGTTTCAGGCAATGGCTGGATTAAATTAACAATTCTGATAAGTGGGATTCTGCTAAGTGAGAACACCCAAAACACTACTTGCTGTATCTTGAAAATCTTTTTTTTTTGAATGTCTGTTGCTGGCTTGTGTTTTGTATTGCTAACAGTGTGTACAGTAAATATGGCAAAAATTGTTGAGTTAGAGTATTGTTTTTTGCTCTTTATTTTATTAATTTTGTGGCACCAATATCACTGACGGTGTATTTATCTATTTCCAGTGAGCCATCATGAACTGTCTAGTGTAGACATTCCTAAAGCAAGGGAGTCTCTATTTTGACACAGCAATAATGAAGGAACTGTGGTGTGTGTGTGGCACGTCCATGGACTGTTCCTGTGACGGTTTCCCGTGTTTTGCTTCTGGTTGGTTCAAGGCTGTGTTTAGAAGCTCCTTATCATAAATGGTCTGGCAACTTGCCAAGGTGCATCTTGTAGACCTGGGCCTTAAATGGTGGATAAGCTTGGGAAATCAGGAGATACATAACTTGCCACAAAATTATAAGTTTCTAACCTGTATTTGTATGGCTATTTTAAACATCAAGGAGGCATGATTAGGTTCTGTCATTAGTTGTTGGGATGATAAATTGAAAATAAATTATATTTACAATGTTGACCTCTTATTGTTGCATTTGGACATACACTATACTACTACCTGAGGACTCAAGAATTGAATTCTGAACTTCACTCATGTCACATTTATGACACAGTTAGAAGGACTTTTGTTAATGCAACTGAAAAGTGTTGGCAGTACACACTACCCTGATATCATGGCACTGAGATGATTAGCCTCTGACAACCACAACTGTCTTTTGGGTAAGGTATGATTCCGAATAGTAGCGAAGTCTTTTGTCTGCCTGTCATTGAACTGATGCTATCATGAGGTCTGGGTCTGAATGCCACTTGCCAAAGAAACAGTGTTGCTGAGTGAGTGGTGCTTGATAATGTGAGCAGTGCCTGCTCTCATTTGGCTAGTGATTTTGTGTAGATTTGGAGTGGTAAGTGGTCAAATTGTGTTTGTCACTTTTTTATGGATACAGGATGTGTTTGAGAATCGTTTCTGCATTATTAGGTAGATGCCAGTGCTGTGGCTGTACTGGAACTCTTTGGGGATGTGGTTAGTTCTGGAGCTTAACCTTTATGTATTTACATATTTCTGTATCTTTGGAGAGTGGATGAAATTGATTGAGGACTGGCATCTGATGCTGGAGATCGCCAGGAAGAGCCAGAGATGGGTCATCCACCTGACACTTCCAACTGAAGGTGCTTGCAAAGCTTCAGTCTGGCTTTTGATGTGGAAGCCTGCAACTAATCCTGGCTGTAGTAATAGTGTTTTCTAAATACACTTTTTTTTTAATGTTATTTTCATCTAATGTTTGGCCATGGGGTAACAGATCATGGTTGAATAGATGTCTGCTGCTAATGACCTGGAGTTGTAATGGATGCCCAAGGAGCCTCTTGATCTCTTCCAGATTTTTCCCAATTAGAGCAGCTGGTGCTAGACAACGAGGATATCCCTCTTTTTGAAGGTAAGATGCGCTGTCTTTCCCCAGCCCAAAACAAAAGACTGTGATGGTTGCTCCTACCAATAGTCTCATGGACAGATGCATCTCTGGGTAGATTAGTGAGGAAGAGGTCAAGCCAGTTTTCTTGTTTCTTTTTTGTTAGCCAGTCAACTGCTCTGAACCCTGTCCTGGCTATTGGCTCATGGAGGAGCACTGAATCATTTAGCTTAGGTATGGTAGTAGGCAATAGTCCATCTGACTTTCTTCCAGTGTGCAGACCTCCAAGTCTGTGTATGGCATTTACTTTTGAAATTGCATCAAATATGCCATTCCCAAGTAACTGTGCAACCTAGAATCATAGAACGCCTATAGTGCAGATAAAGGCCTTTTGGTCTATCAAGTCATCAGATTGCCCAGAGAGTACCCCACCCAGACCCCATAACCTTGCATTATCGTAACTAATGCACCTCGTCTGCACATCCCTCAAACTGGGCTATTTAGCATGGCCAATCCACCTAACCTGCATATCTTTAGACTAGGGCAGGAAACCAGAACACCTGGCAGAAACCCACACCCATGGGGAGTCTGTCTGCCTACCCTGACACCTGAGGTTGGAATCAAACCTGCCTGGCGCTGAGGCTGCAGTGCTAACCACTTGCTGCCATCCACTGTAGCGCAATTTGTTGCATATGTTGGTTGTAGATGATAAACATGAGATGTCTTTGTCTTTGCTTGTGTTTTAATCCAATACTATGAGATTTCACTTGTCTTAATTGTATACCACTGCCAATGACCAGAATCTGGCCTAGTGAACATGTAGGCTAGACCTGGGGAAAAAAAATTATCAAGAGAAAGCTATTTATCACAATACAATTGTTTGTTTGCCATTACTAGTTCTAGCTTTCTCCAGATCTTACTAATTGAATTTAAGTCTGTCATAGATAACCAGGATAGGTTTTGCATTCATGTCCCCACAGTATTTGTGCAAGGACATTGCACCACAAGACCCCAGTAGCAATGCAGTGCCCCTACCTCTGGCTTCAATGTCTGGGTTCAGGTCCTCCAGAGGTGTGATTTATGAGAGATTTTAGAAAGGTTGAATTAAAAATAACTTTGGACATATCACTGTTGTCATCCCCTTCCAATTACGTGAAATATTGGTTGTTGAGGTAAAGAGCAGTAGAGAATCTATACATAATATTGCCAAAAACACTGACTCCTGTTATTGAATGTTATGACCATCTGACTTTTCATAGTTACTTGAATTTTCCAAGTGAATAAACAAAACAATCGATGTAGACTATCTCTGTAGATATCAGTTTTTTTTTTTGTCTTCTTTTCATAGACATGATTTATCATTTTATGATCAGGAAGAGTCCGTTGGCCAAGTACCTATTTTTGGTTAATTTAGAGTGAATTCAGCCTGATTTGGGGATAGACAGTTTGCTAGCTTTGTTTACTTGGGTCCTATATGCCACATTTCCCATGCTGCAGTAATCAACCAATTTAACTAAAAGCAACTGTTATTCTCTAGCCTCATTTGGTGTTTTTTAAAGTTGCTCATGTAATATGGGTGTTGCATCCCTATTTGCCCTGAATGGTGTCTCTTGATAGGCCATTTCGGAAAGCAGTTAAGAGTCAACCGTATTGCTGAGAGTTGGTCACGTGTAAGCAGACTAGGGAAGGTTGATAGATTTCCCATTCCAATAGTGAACCAGGTGGATATTTATGATTGACAATAGTTGATTATCTTTGTCCTAATTTTTAATTGTAGGTTTTTTAATTTAACTAACTCTAACTCTGGTTAGTCATGCCTCACACACAAGATGGTTGTGGTTGTTGGAGGTTGGTCATCTCAGCTCCAGGACATCTCTGCAGGAGTTCCTCAGGGTAGTGTCTTCGGCCCAGCCATCTTCAGCTGCTGCATCAATGACCTTTCCTCCAACATAAGGTCAGAAGTGGGGATGTTGACCAATCATTGTGCGATGTTCAGCACCATTTGTGACAACGGCAGAAACTGAAGCAGTCCATTTTCAAATGCAACAAGATCTGGACAATATCCAGGCTTGGACTGACAAGTGCACCACATAAATGCTAGGTTATGACTGTCTCTTATTACTGACAATCTAACTACTGCCCCTTGATTATTCAGTGATGTTGAGTCACTGAATCCCCCACTATCAACATCCTGGGACAAAAACAAAATTGCTGGAAAAGCTCAGCAGGTCTGGCAGCATCTGTGAAGGAAAAAAACAGTTAATGTTTCGGGTCCGGTGACTCTTCGTCAGAACTGATAGTGGCTGGGAAAATGTCAGTTTATATGCAGAAAA